TGCTCCAACAAATAAACCATTAAACTGTAGTGTGTTTTCGTCCGTTTACTGACGTTGTTTACTGATGCTATCACGTGAAAGTTCAGCGACGCTAAGGAGACGCTAGTCGTCCGACGGGCTTTTGAACTTGAGCCAGTATTTTTGTCTGCGCTCCAGTCCTACGGCAATTTTGACATTTGCACATCCGTGGGCCTATTTTGTTCCTTATAGACCGCCCATTGACTCCTATTTGTTAACTGAAAGTACGACACATAAATCTTCCACTCTGACGCGGTGCGCCGTGGCCTCCGCGGGGCGGTGATGCGGGGACATAAACTTCCATAAAGGTTTATTGTACGTAATGCTGTACTTGCGTTGCATCTGTCGCACTCACTCTACCCTCATCCATCTGACACCAGTGTTAAGACAGTGGTGACACAAACGCCGTATTATAGCTTGATGTGCCCCAAACAGGTGCAGAATAAGTGCAGATTACTGGCGGGATTTGGGCAGGGACCATTTACCAATCTGACCCCGTATGCGGCATCCCTTATGGGAGCGCAACCTGCAAAACACCTGCTTTGCCCTGATGTAGCCGTTCGTTTTGGTCCAGGCTATTCAATATACGGTCCGTTTATGATAGCAATATTTAAAATACAAAAAATAGGTTATCGGGAAGACGAAGAAGATACGATCGCGAGACAATAATTTTATTCGCCTAACGTTTCGACATCCGTAATGGATTCTTCATCAGAGGCATCACCAGAAAAAAGTAGTAGAAACGTATAATACGTGCACAAGAGGTTGCCGCATTTACGGGATACAGTCATCGCTGCACACGTTTGACAAATAACGAGCATTACCATCTTGTGCGGGGACTGCTTAATGCCCGGCATTCGGGCCGTGACCTGCTGAACTTGCATTGCCCGTGGTGGAATTGGACGTGATGACCGCCAGGCCATCTGGTTCCCCGGGGGTTGGCATGTGACGACGCGGTGCCCTTCGCGTTCGTCAAGTGGCGACTGGGCTTGGTCGATTTGAGCCTCAGTACCGAATATTGATTAAGTATGAAATGGGTGCCCCTGAACAATGACTCATGTAATCGTCGACTCACATAATTGTCTCCCCTTGCAAAATGTCGACCTCATCGAATTTGAATGTGTGGCTGAGTCTTGTCGAATGAGTCGCAACTTGAGAATTCGCATCATTACACCGCTCCGCTGCCGCACTTTTCGCGTCCTGAGAACTCTTCCATTTTCTCCGATACATTTGCTTTGTCTCCAACTGCACTAGATCTATCGACGGCTCCAGATGTTCCCCGCCGTGGCAGTGGGTCTTTCGGTTTCATTTTATGACGCTTTATGGTTGTCTCCGGCCTCTGTGCGACTCAAACTCCAAGTGGTGTGAGAAGGGGGCTGACGGCCTCGGAGACGTTTTTGACTTACGAGATCGCTCACTATAAATTGGGGTTGGTCTGATTTTGCTGCCATCTCATTTGCGCATGCATCGGTTGACGAAATTTAGCGGGTAGCCATTGTCTCTGAATACCCGTTAAAAGATATTTTATTTCGGCAACTTTGCCTTCCGTTTGAATGTAGTGCACCTTAACACGCCGATAAAGCGTCCTCACGCAACTGCGTTTGTGGATGCTTGGGTGGTTGCTGTTGTAATATAGTACTTGCATCGTGTTTGTCGCTTTCCTGAGGACTTTATTCTTTAGGCCACTACAATGTTTGTGACAGACGAGAACGTCAAGGAAGGCCAGCTGGTTGTTCTCTTCCTCCTGCATTGTAAATTTGATGTCCGGGAAGACACTGTTGAGGCCTTCCTTGAACGTGGGCACCTGATCACGTTTGATGACGACCAAGGTGTCATAGATATACAGCACCCAGAATTGCGGTCAAAGGTATTGGATTATCAGCAATTTGAACTGTTGTAGTACCACCTGGGCTATGAGTCCCGAAATCGGTGAACTCATTGATATTCATTTCACCTGCTTATAGACTGTTCCGCCAGCCGTGAAGTACGTCCTCAGACAGAACCGCAGGAGCTGTAGGATTTCGGCATGTACGTGGTGATTCTCCGTCACGTCGTTTTTGCTTAGTAGGAGTAGTTCGCCGGTCTCGACTGCAAGGCCATGGGAAATAGAAGTAAAAAGGGACATGAAATGGAAGGAAACCATGACATCACTTGGCAAGAGACATACCCCTTTAATTTTCTACAAGAGTTGTTTTGGTGGAAGGACAGTGGTCTCCGAATCGGTGGTCAAAAATGTGAGACACCGAGCCAGTCCCTTTCAGTGCGTACAACGAAGTGTCTTTCGGTGATACCATGGGTCGGAAAGGAGCACCCTCTTTATGCACCTTGGGGAGGCCGTAGAAGCAGGCCAATGCCGTTTCGTCCGCGCTCGAACCAGAAACCTGGGCAAGAGAAGACAAGAAGGAGTGAGTTCGTAGTTGTAGACACCACAAAACTGCTTCAGCAGAGAATGCTTGAACGAGCCCGAGAAAAGCAAGCGATTCGCGAAGCAGCACTGGAGAACAAATTTTCAAAGTCAACGGAACAGCAGGAACGGGAGCCGCGGCATGAAGTTTGTATCAGTGCCGTTGATGCCGACATCGTTCGACTTCATCTCAGCCCCGGAAGTATGCTTTTCCGTTTTGAAACAACCAACGACGAGAATCACTCGGCTTAACAACATGTCATATTTTCTCTAATGATGCGCAGACCTATTCCACCTTTTTGAAGACTGAACCAAATATGATTAG